TCAATAACAGTATTTCCCAGCTATTTTCTACATAGCTTATATCTATATCTATATCTATATCTATATCTATCTATCTATCTATGTATATACACACACACATATATATTCATAGTCGTATCTGTAAGAACTTTTATGATGCAATTATACCTTCTGAAATATTTACTAGAACTTTTAAAGATTTCTCTTGGTTTTAGAGAGGTGAAAAGGGAGAACCTGGTATCAGAGGTGCCATTGGACCAAAAGGAGAATCTGGGGTGGATGGCCTGATGGGGCCTTCGGGTCCTAAGGGGCAACCTGGGGAAACAGGTCCTCAGGGACCTCCTGGTTTGGATGGGAAGCCCGTATGTATTCTTATTCTTTCAAGTTTTATATTTTCTTTGCTTTTTACATGTACATGTTATAACACTTAATAATTTGATGCAGGGAAGAGAATTTTCAGAACAATTTATTCGACAAGTTTGCACTGATGTATTAAGAGGTAAGTGTCAAATGTAAAATTGTAATAACTTTTCAAATTACAAAAGTAATACAAATTCTTAGTAGAAATTTTAGAAGATATAGGTAAGAAAAAGAAGAAAACACACAACATTTATAAGACCCTTTCTGCTTTTTTTATAATGAACATTTTTATAAAGATGGAATATTATATATATGGTTACAATCTTTTTAATAAAGCAATTTATCATTATTTTACCATTAATTAAATTTTCTTTTGTAATATAATTCTTGATAATTTATTTCATAAATATGGATGTCTATAATTTACCAATTTCTTTTTTTGGGTGGCAACTTTTACTTTTATCCCTATTTTAAGCAATTGCTATAATAAAATTATTGCACAGAGCAATGAATATTTCCATAGTTAAATACCTAGAAGTGAAATTATTGGCTAAGAGGTATGTACATATTCAATGTTCATAGATTTTTTTTTCTTGTAAATAAAAAAACATTATTAGAGATATTAACTTCAAATTACCATTTAAACATACAGGGTGGGGTTTCTTTGTTTTTAAGCCCAGCTACCAGTCTTACTTCAGAGTGGGAGAATCCAGAACTGTGATCATTGCCAGTCCCAACATGGCTCCCCTGGTATTCCTGGGCCACCTGGTCCCATAGGCCCAGAAGGTCCCCGAGGATTTCCTGGTTTGCCAGGAAGAGATGGTGTTCCTGGATTAATGGGTGTGCCTGGACGCCCAGGGCCCAGAGGATTAAAAGGTACTTAACTTGTTTGAATAAGCAAATGAATTTCTAAAAGGCATTTTTTTTTGTATTCACACTCTGTTTTCATTTAGTAGGCAAGAGTTAAGTTTGTTTTCATGATAGAAAAAAAAATCTTTGTAAGTCTTTAAGTAATTTGTCAACTGAATTAAAGAGCAATTGTTTTCTTGATGCAATATTCTCAAGTAGAGAGTTCAAAATTATGAACACGTGAAGTTACAAATTAGAAAAGGTTGACAATGCTCTTAGAAACTTTGCTTGAGGCTGATAAGGTATTTAAATGGAAAATCACAGACATGTCTTTTAACTTTGGTAGGTTTCTGCAATGTTACTTTATTCAAGATTTTTTTTTCTCTTATAGGAAGAATTATGTTTTGCAAACGAATTTCCTTATAGCACACAACTTCTCCTTGCCTGTAAATGTTTACATGAAATGTTGGTTGATAAATCTTTCCTTTTTGTTTAATATTATATTAACAACTTAGATCTTTTGTGACAGTAATGAAAGAACAATTATGATTAACACAGAGGGTTGGTAATCTCAAACCATTTTCTTTTCTTAATATTCGATTCCCATTAAGTCTTGTATCTGATTCCCATTAAGTCTTGTATCTAGACCACTGATAATTTTAGAATTTTTTGCTTCAAGAAATTGTTTCCCATTAGTAATAAAAAATAGGTGGCAAGATATTTTTAAAAGACATTTTTCTTTTCAATGTGTATATGAACAGCTTTGAAAGGAAGAATCACTAGAAGGCAGTGATTTTACGGTAAAAGTAAGCTTGCTCACATGTTTGACACTCTGCAGGCCTGCCAGGAAGAAACGGGGCAAAGGGCAGCCAAGGGTTTGGGTACCCTGGAGAACAAGGTCCTCCTGGCCCCCCAGGTAAGAACTGGTATATCATTCTAAGTGTTGCTGCACATTTTTCTTTAAGAAAAATCATTATTGATCTATGTCAAATAATTTGAAACCAAGATATTTCTTTCCGTTTTTGAGTGATTCACATTTAAGACATTGAGGTCTATCTTTTAGGATATTTTTTCATGTATTATCTTATATTCATGAATCATTCAGGCTTATCTCTTGCATATCATTTAGATTGTCTAATATCTACTCCTTAGAAGAGGTCTAGAACGCTTTTAGTTACCACTGCTTACCCAGCGTACAATGTTGTTTAATCTTTATGACTCTTAGGAAAGTAGAATAATGCTAACGTGGACTCTTAAATAACCTCTGATAGCTGTGTTAGTTAACTTTGCCATGCTTCAGTTTCCTCATTTGTAAAATGGTGATGATAATGTTATCTGCATCATGGCATTATTGGAAGATTAAATGAGTTACTCTATGTAGTTCTTTCAGAACAGCGCATGATAATCATAGTTATGTTTTCAATAAATGTTTGCTATTATCATTTCAGATGTTACTAACTCATGAGGCTTTTGAGTGGATTAAATTATTTAATACTATTTATGTAAAACAGAACAGTACCTACAAGCCTAGTTAAGTTCTAAATAGATGTTTATTAGTAGTAGCAGCAGTAAGTAGAGTAGTAGGCAATATTCCAAACCTCTCTGCTCCATCCCAAAACCTGAATATTTTGTTTTTGTTATTTGGAATCATCTTTAAATGGCCAGTATCCTAAGTTAACTTTTCTGTTCTGGACCACGCTAATTGAACTAATCAGGCAATGTTTCACAAATTAATGATATAAAACCTATGTGTGTTGATGACTGTTATGCTATGACAATGACAATGTATTTAGATATGGAAACTAAATATATATGTATATATGTGTGTGTATATATGATGGATATAGTCATTTTTACTGCAGATATGGCACAAGAAAGACTTTTAGAGCTTTGGTTTACCTATGTAGCACCTGCTAATTTATAATAATATTGGCAAAAGATAGGCTGAAAGGAAAAAATAAGTTCGGACAATCCACAAATTAGAGTATTAGAATGTTAGCTTAATGTCTTAATCTGTAGCATGATTACTATATTAATATGCTTAGCCTGATTTTTCAAAAATTACTCTTTACTTTTGGAGGGTTCTTTTCAGAGGGGAAAGCATGTAGAATTAGCAAGAGAATGCCTCCTCTTTTAAATTAGTGCACGTACGTAAAGTGTTCAAGAGGTTTTATTTTTCAGTTTAAATTTCTTGCAGAATCAGTTATTTCACCATCAAAAAAAAAAAAAAAAAAAAAAAAAACAACCCAAAGTCCTCTCTGTTCATCTATTGCCAATGTCTCATCTTAGGTCCAGAGGGCCCTCCTGGAATAAGCAAAGAAGGTACCCCGGGAGACCCAGGTGTCCCTGGCAAAGATGGAGATCATGGAAAACCTGGAATCCGAGGGCAACCAGGCCCCCCTGGCATCTGTGACCCATCACTATGTTTCAGTGTCATTGTCGGAAGAGATCCATTTAGAAAAGGACCAAACTATTAGTGTCTGATGCCTCATTCAGCAACGTAGGCATGGTGCTTTTCTTTTGTGGTCTTTTGCATCTCAGGAAGATAACCAACAGTAATCCCTTGAAAAGAAACTAAAGTACCTCGGTGTTTTTATTTTTATTTTTTTTTATTTTCCTTATGGAAAAACATGTGCAAGGTCACATATACTGATTTTAAAGGCTCCTCCGTAATTTGGAGCCCTTAGATTAGTAGCATTAATTAAATCTCAAGGGTTTCTTGTAAAGTCCATTTGTTCTAATCAAAGTTAAATATAAAAATCCACCATTGCCTGCTAGCCGGTCGATTTTAGTCACTGTGAAATAGTTCACATTCAGCCTCCATGCTGTAGCGATTTGAGTTCAGTTTCATGTTTGTGTGAATTTCATGTTTCCCATCTCATAGCTCATGCTTCTACATTACCCAAAACATATATTTGGTCATTGGAAATAAGATCAGGGCTGATATTCAGCTGGGATAGAAAATATTGCCGTATTTGTCATTTACGCCAATGTCTGTGCCTATCGTAAGGGTCAGTGGACTGCTTGTTGTTCAATGTTGTTTTAAACATCACCTCTGAATAAGATTAATGTATTTCTTATTTCATTTTCAGACTCTCAAATTAGATTAATGATTATGCTAAGAAAGAGTATTAATTACATTGGGAATGGTCAAAATCATGTAACATTAAAAATATTTAAGAAAAAATGGTTCATTGTACAACCTATTCAAAGAAAATGTAAATTCAGAAGTACCCAAAAGACTTCATACTTGCTGATTAATAGGTATCTTTGTTGTATGCTCTCATTTTCCTTTTTACTTATATGTGTATGTTCATATATGTTAATTTTCATTGTAGCAAAGCTAATGGGAATAAATGTCCTAGTTGAAAGGAAAGATAACTACACAAATCCTAGAATGTATTGATATTTTTAGCAGACTTTAAAATATTACGCATAGTCTTTGTGTATTGTTCCTAATGCTTTTTGTAAGGAATAGAATTTGAGATATTTCATTTTTGTCATGCTTACAATTTTGTTACATGCTTGTTATTCAGAGTACAATAAAGTTTTGTACAGGCCTCATTTCAGTGTCTTCTTTTTTAAACTTAATTTTAGTCTATTGTTGAGTACATTATCACATAGTCATTTGTGCAATAGATATAATTAATAGATTGTGTACCCTATTCTTAAAAAAACGTGTTTATCTGAAATAAAACCTTACAAATTTTTGCTGTGCTACTCACCTGAACAGGTGTAACACCTGCTTCCTCGCCCAGTCATGACTATTGATCAATGTTTAACTTTATTGACATGTAGATTTTCCCACTTTGATGAGGACTTTGCAGGAGACTAAAGTCCATGAAGTTCAGTACCTGAATGAACATAAGGCTTCTTTTGATGTTCTATCTTCAGCAAAGTCCCAAGTATCTGCTTAGACCTAACAGTTTTATTACCCCTGCTTACCCCATCTATCCTTAGAATAGGGTTTCCCCCTAGAATGTGCTGTTTAGTTACCACTGCTTACCCAGCGTACAAGGTGTTTAATCTTATGACTCTTAGGGAAGTAGAATAATGCAAAGTGGACTCTTAAATAACCTCTGATAGCTGTGTTAGTTAACTTTGCCATGCTTCAGTTTCCTCATTTGTAAAATGGTGATGATAATGTTATCTGCATCATGGCATTATTGGAAGATTAAATGAGTTACTCTATGTAGTCTTTCAAACAGGCATGATAATCATAGTTATGTTTTCAATAAATGTTTGCTATTATCATTTCAGATGTTATGAAAGCAAGCTCCTTGAGAACAGGACTCTGTCATGGCTATTGCTTTATCTCTGGTACTATGCATATTGCCTATACCATATATCAATAAATAGTAGATGTTTGTAGGGCTGGATGGTTGGCTGTATGGATAAATACCAGTTTAATATGATAATGATATTTCTCTTCTGGTCAATAACAGTATTTCCCAGCTATTTTCTACATAGCTTATATCTATATCTATATCTATATCTATATCTATCTATCTATCTATGTATATACACACACACATATATATTCATAGTCGTATCTGTAAGAACTTTTATGATGCAATTATACCTTCTGAAATATTTACTAGAACTTTTAAAGATTTCTCTTGGTTTTAGAGAGGTGAAAAGGGAGAACCTGGTATCAGAGGTGCCATTGGACCAAAAGGAGAATCTGGGGTGGATGGCCTGATGGGGCCTTCGGGTCCTAAGGGGCAACCTGGGGAAACAGGTCCTCAGGGACCTCCTGGTTTGGATGGGAAGCCCGTATGTATTCTTATTCTTTCAAGTTTTATATTTTCTTTGCTTTTTACATGTACATGTTATAACACTTAATAATTTGATGCAGGGAAGAGAATTTTCAGAACAATTTATTCGACAAGTTTGCACTGATGTATTAAGAGGTAAGTCTCAAATGTAAAGTAATAACTTTTCAAATTACAAAAGTAATACAAATTCTTAGTAGAAATTTTAGAAGATATAGGTAAGAAAAAGAAGAAAACACACAACATTTATAAGACCCTTTCTGCTTTTTTTATAATGAACATTTTTATAAAGATGGAATATTATATATATGGTTACAATCTTTTTAATAAAGCAATTTATCATTATTTTACCATTAATTAAATTTTCTTTTGTAATATAATTCTTGATAATTTATTTCATAAATATGGATGTCTATAATTTACCAATTTCTTTTTTTGGGTGGCAACTTTTACTTTTATCCCTATTTTAAGCAATTGCTATAATAAAATTATTGCACAGAGCAATGAATATTTCCATAGTTAAATACCTAGAAGTGAAATTATTGGCTAAGAGGTATGTACATATTCAATGTTCATAGATTTTTTTTTCTTGTAAATAAAAAAACATTATTAGAGATATTAACTTCAAATTACCATTTAAACATACAGGGTGGGGTTTCTTTGTTTTTAAGCCCAGCTACCAGTCTTACTTCAGAGTGGGAGAATCCAGAACTGTGATCATTGCCAGTCCCAACATGGCTCCCCTGGTATTCCTGGGCCACCTGGTCCCATAGGCCCAGAAGGTCCCCGAGGATTTCCTGGTTTGCCAGGAAGAGATGGTGTTCCTGGATTAATGGGTGTGCCTGGACGCCCAGGGCCCAGAGGATTAAAAGGTACTTAACTTGTTTGAATAAGCAAATGAATTTCTAAAAGGCATTTTTTTTTGTATTCACACTCTGTTTTCATTTAGTAGGCAAGAGTTAAGTTTGTTTTCATGATAGAAAAAAAAATCTTTGTAAGTCTTTAAGTAATTTGTCAACTGAATTAAAGAGCAATTGTTTTCTTGATGCAGTATTCTCAAGTAGAGAGTTCAAAATTATGAACACGTGAAGTTACAAATTAGAAAAGGTTGACAATGCTCTTAGAAACTTTGCTTGAGGCTGATAAGGTATTTAAATGGAAAATCACAGACATGTCTTTTAACTTTGGTAGGTTTCTGCAATGTTACTTTATTCAAGATTTTTTTTTCTCTTATAGGAAGAATTATGTTTTGCAAACGAATTTCCTTATAGCACACAACTTCTCCTTGCCTGTAAATGTTTACATGAAATGTTGGTTGATAAATCTTTCCTTTTTGTTTAATATTATATTAACAACTTAGATCTTTTGTGACAGTAATGAAAGAACAATTATGATTAACACAGAGGGTTGGTAATCTCAAACCATTTTCTTTTCTTAATATTCGATTCCCATTAAGTCTTGTATCTGATTCCCATTAAGTCTTGTATCTAGACCACTGATAATTTTAGAATTTTTTGCTTCAAGAAATTGTTTCCCATTAGTAATAAAAAATAGGTGGCAAGATATTTTTAAAAGACATTTTTCTTTTCAATGTGTATATGAACAGCTTTGAAAGGAAGAATCACTAGAAGGCAGTGATTTTACGGTAAAAGTAAGCTTGCTCACATGTTTGACACTCTGCAGGCCTGCCAGGAAGAAACGGGGCAAAGGGCAGCCAAGGGTTTGGGTACCCTGGAGAACAAGGTCCTCCTGGCCCCCCAGGTAAGAACTGGTATATCATTCTAAGTGTTGCTGCACATTTTTCTTTAAGAAAAATCATTATTGATCTATGTCAAATAATTTGAAACCAAGATATTTCTTTCCGTTTTTGAGTGATTCACATTTAAGACATTGAGGTCTATCTTTTAGGATATTTTTTCATGTATTATCTTATATTCATGAATCATTCAGGCTTATCTCTTGCATATCATTTAGATTGTCTAATATCTACTCCTTAGAAGAGGTCTAGAATGCTTTTAGTTACCACTGCTTACCCAGCGTACAATGTTGTTTAATCTTTATGACTCTTAGGAAAGTAGAATAATGCTAAAGTGGACTCTTAAATAACCTCTGATAGCTGTGTTAGTTAACTTTGCCATGCTTCAGTTTCCTCATTTGTAAAATGGTGATGATAATGTTATCTGCATCATGGCATTATTGGAAGATTAAATGAGTTACTCTATGTAGTTCTTTCAGAACAGCGCATGATAATCATAGTTATGTTTTCAATAAATGTTTGCTATTATCATTTCAGATGTTACTAACTCATGAGGCTTTTGAGTGGATTAAATTATTTAATACTATTTATGTAAAACAGAACAGTACCTACAAGCCTAGTTAAGTTCTAAATAGATGTTTATTAGTAGTAGCAGCAGTAAGTAGAGTAGTAGGCAATATTCCAAACCTCTCTGCTCCATCCCAAAACCTGAATATTTTGTTTTTGTTATTTGGAATCATCTTTAAATGGCCAGTATCCTAAGTTAACTTTTCTGTTCTGGACCACGCTAATTGAACTAATCAGGCAATGTTTCACAAATTAATGATATAAAACCTATGTGTGTTGATGACTGTTATGCTATGACAATGACAATGTATTTAGATATGGAAACTAAATATATATGTATATATGTGTGTGTATATATGATGGATATAGTCATTTTTACTGCAGATATGGCACAAGAAAGACTTTTAGAGCTTTGGTTTACCTATGTAGCACCTGCTAATTTATAATAATATTGGCAAAAGATAGGCTGAAAGGAAAAAATAAGTTCGGACAATCCACAAATTAGAGTATTAGAATGTTAGCTTAATGTCTTAATCTGTAGCATGATTACTATATTAATATGCTTAGCCTGATTTTTCAAAAATTACTCTTTACTTTTGGAGGGTTCTTTTCAGAGGGGAAAGCATGTAGAATTAGCAAGAGAATGCCTCCTCTTTTAAATTAGTGCACGTACGTAAAGTGTTCAAGAGGTTTTATTTTTCAGTTTAAATTTCTTGCAGAATCAGTTATTTCACCATCAAAAAAAAAAAAAAAAAAAAAAAAAACAACCCAAAGTCCTCTCTGTTCATCTATTGCCAATGTCTCATCTTAGGTCCAGAGGGCCCTCCTGGAATAAGCAAAGAAGGTACCCCGGGAGACCCAGGTGTCCCTGGCAAAGATGGAGATCATGGAAAACCTGGAATCCGAGGGCAACCAGGCCCCCCTGGCATCTGTGACCCATCACTATGTTTCAGTGTCATTGTCGGAAGAGATCCATTTAGAAAAGGACCAAACTATTAGTGTCTGATGCCTCATTCAGCAACGTAGGCATGGTGCTTTTCTTTTGTGGTCTTTTGCATCTCAGGAAGATAACCAACAGTAATCCCTTGAAAAGAAACTAAAGTACCTCGGTGTTTTTATTTTTATTTTTTTTTATTTTCCTTATGGAAAAACATGTGCAAGGTCACATATACTGATTTTAAAGGCTCCTCCGTAATTTGGAGCCCTTAGATTAGTAGCATTAATTAAATCTCAAGGGTTTCTTGTAAAGTCCATTTGTTCTAATCAAAGTTAAATATAAAAATCCACCATTGCCTGCTAGCCGGTCGATTTTAGTCACTGTGAAATAGTTCACATTCAGCCTCCATGCTGTAGCGATTTGAGTTCAGTTTCATGTTTGTGTGAATTTCATGTTTCCCATCTCATAGCTCATGCTTCTACATTACCCAAAACATATATTTGGTCATTGGAAATAAGATCAGGGCTGATATTCAGCTGGGATAGAAAATATTGCCGTATTTGTCATTTACGCCAATGTCTGTGCCTATCGTAAGGGTCAGTGGACTGCTTGTTGTTCAATGTTGTTTTAAACATCACCTCTGAATAAGATTAATGTATTTCTTATTTCATTTTCAGACTCTCAAATTAGATTAATGATTATGCTAAGAAAGAGTATTAATTACATTGGGAATGGTCAAAATCATGTAACATTAAAAATATTTAAGAAAAAATGGTTCATTGTACAACCTATTCAAAGAAAATGTAAATTCAGAAGTACCCAAAAGACTTCATACTTGCTGATTAATAGGTATCTTTGTTGTATGCTCTCATTTTCCTTTTTACTTATATGTGTATGTTCATATATGTTAATTTTCATTGTAGCAAAGCTAATGGGAATAAATGTCCTAGTTGAAAGGAAAGATAACTACACAAATCCTAGAATGTATTGATATTTTTAGCAGACTTTAAAATATTACGCATAGTCTTTGTGTATTGTTCCTAATGCTTTTTGTAAGGAATAGAATTTGAGATATTTCATTTTTGTCATGCTTACAATTTTGTTACATGCTTGTTATTCAGAGTACAATAAAGTTTTGTACAGGCCTCATTTCAGTGTCTTCTTTTTTAAACTTAATTTTAGTCTATTGTTGAGTACATTATCACATAGTCATTTGTGCAATAGATATAATTAATAGATTGTGTACCCTATTCTTAAAAAAACATGTTTATCTGAAATAAAACCTTACAAATTTTTGCTGTGCTACTCACCTGAACAGGTGTAACACCTGCTTCCTCGCCCAGTCATGACTATTGATCAATGTTTAACTTTATTGACATGTAGATTTTCCCACTTTGATGAGGACTTTGCAGGAGACTAAAGTCCATGAAGTTCAGTACCTGAATGAACATAAGGCTTCTTTTGATGTTCTATCTTCAGCAAAGTCCCAAGTATCTGCTTAGACCTAACAGTTTTATTACCCCTGCTTTAATTATGGCATTTTCTGCTAAGACCTGGTAAATAATCAGAATAAGGTATCATTTCTTCATTCATTCAACCGACATTTACCCGATGCCCATTAAGTGCCAGATACTGAACCTGGGACACAATGGCGAGATGTTAGAATCTGGCCTAAGGGAACTCATGTTCTGAGGAGACACAGGTAAGTAAACAGGGAAGAGCATAACACATGTGTGATTTCAATGCATTGCATTCTAAGAAAAGAGAAGATACTATAGACATGTATAAAAGATGACAAATATGGACTGAATTATATCTTTCCCCAATTCATAAGTTGAAGCCCTGACTCTCAATGTGACTATATTTGGTGTTAGGGCTTTTAGAAGGTAACTAAGATTAAATGAGGTCATAAGGGTATGGTCCTAAGCCCATAGAATTTGTGGCTTTATAAGAAGAGGAAGAGCAGTCTCTCCCCTCCCTCCCTTTGTCCACACCCCTCCCCACCCAGGAAAGGCTATGTGGGTACACAGGAGAAAGGTGGCTCTCTGCAACCCATAACAGGGCCCTCACCAGAACCAGACCATGCAGACCCTAGTCTTGAACTTCCAGCCTCCAGAACAGTATGAAAATAAATTTCTGCTGAAGTCTCCAAGTCTCTTTGGAGGCTCATAGCCATTTTGCTATGGCATTTCAAGCTGACTAATGCAGATAGTGGTAAGCTGGGATGTAGTAACCTATCCAAGTCATGCAAAGATAATGAAAATGAGCAAAAGCTAGAGGGTTAGAAAAAGTATGGAAGCATGGAAAATTCTAGAAAACACAATTTATGGAAAATAAACCATATTTACTTTGAGTATCTCTAATTTTTTATTTTTTTTTAGCGACAGGGTCTTGCTTTGTCACCCAGGCTGGAATGCAGTGGCATGCTCATACCTCACTACAGCTTTGGATTCCAGGGCTCAAGCCATCCTCCTGCCTCAGACTCCCAAGTAGCTGGGACTACAGGCACGTGCCACCATGCCCAGCTAATTTTTAAAATTTTTTGTAGAGATGGTATCTTACTATATTGCCCAGGCTGGTCTTGAACTCCTGGTCTTAAGTGCTCCTCCTGCCTCAGCCTCCAAAAATGCTCTGATTACAGGTGTGATCCACTCTGCCAAGCCTGTGCTTTTAAAATTGGTATCTCAAGATAAAATATTTCCATAATTTATCACAGTATATGATACATCCCAACATAGTTTTGACTTGGAAAAATTTGAGACTAACCCATAACATACTGATTTTTAAGAATGAGTAGGAGAGTGCTTTTTGGCCTGCAAGTACATTTTTGCACCATAGTTGTTTGTTAGGCATTTTAGCACAGTTGTTAAGAGCAAAGCTTCTGTAGTGAAATTGCCTGGGTTCAAATCCCTATTTTCTGTTTCTAGCGGTGAGTCTTCATAACATTTATTTACCTGCTTGTGCTTAAATTTCTTCATATGTTAAGTGGGGGCAATTAATAATACCTCATGGTGTTAAGAGAATTAAATGAGAGGAAACAAAATAAATTAATTCGAATAAAGTCACACAGTTTACCAGAACCATACAGAAAATGTGGGTTTATCAAATCTTGAGAGTGAAACATTTAGAAAACCTATTCAAAACATTTTGTATGTGTGTAGCTGATACTGAATAAAGTTAATCTGATTCACTGCCATTCAGGATGGAACTGTCAGTCTTAAGGGTAAAAATAATTCTCCATAAAGGTTATCTTTGCCAGATTTTAACCATTTTGATATAGGATGTAAAATAGGAACAATTTAGAAAAAAGAACCCTTGGGGTTTATGGTCTTGGAGTACTGTATTTTGTTCCTGGTAATTAGAACTTTACTAGGCATTGAATTTAATTTTCATTATGAAGAGGTTTTCAACTGGAATGGAACTCAACCTTTGATCCCCAGTAGAGGGCAGCAAAACACACACATATGCATGCATGCATACATACACACAGGTAAGCTATGGTAACCTTTCCTCATTATAATACTCATATAAGTTATCACTATATCTCTAGCCTGAACATTTTCTCATTTTTGTAAGTATGGTTAGAAGTTGACCTTAAAAAATGATTACTCCAAAGAAGAAAAGAATATATAGTTTTTGTAAGTTGAACACCTACATCACAGATAATGAAATTGATATTTTGATGTATTTCCTATGTGGTATACCTTTGTATGGTTCCATTTCTTAAAGTGCTTTGGCTAGGAGCTTTGATTAGTTCTTCTGATTGATACCTTCATTGTCAAAGGAGAGGTTCAATGATCACTCCTGATAATATTTAGTTATAGATCTGGCCCATTAGCTGTGTCCTGCCAAGGGGAGGTAGAAAGCTGTTCTTATTCTGATGTAGAGATTACACTGAATAGTCAAAGGACTTGTCCTAATCCTGGTACTGTAGGTTGTATAAAATGTCAACACAAGAGGTTAGCAGCTCTGTGACTAAAGCAAGCATCCAGAGCTTCATCTTTTATTTTTGAGACAGAGTCTCACTTTGTTGCCCAGGCTAGAGTGAGTGCCATGGCGTCAGCCTTGCTCACAGCAACCTCAAACTCCTGGGCTCAAGCAGTCCTCCTGCCTCAGCCTCCCCAGTAGCTGGGACTACAGGCATGTGCCACCATGCCCGGCTAATTTTTTCTATATTCCAATTAATTTCTTTCTATTTATAGTAGAGACGGGGTCTCACTCTTGCTCAGGCTAGTTTCGAACTCCTGACCTCGAGCGATCCGCCCACCTCGGCCTCCCAGAGTGCTAGGATTACAGGCGTGAGCCACCACACCCGGCAAGAGCTTCATCTTTAAAGACTGCGGGAATAGGACAGGCGGCTTCAAATGGAACCTTAAATTCAGAATCTTTTCTGTAGTGTTAAGGGAAAGGCCAGAAATCAACCTATAGTTTGGTTTAATTTAACTGTAAATGTTTCTTTTTGGGATATTTTAACAAAACTTTATCTTAAAACTCTATAGAAGGTTTATTTTCCCCCAAACAACACATTTGAAATAAAGAACATTACTATAATGATAACCCACTAAGTAATTCCTGGATTATGCCTTCCCAAAAGTAGTTTTTCACAAAAGGATTGCAAATAAACAGATTCCAAAATTCCCATATTGATATTTTAGGTAAAAATGACAACTTTAGGTAGGTGACTGAAGGATCACTCTGAATAAGGAAAGAACCAAGAAGAATAACAGCATTTTTCCATCATGTTCCTACTTCAGTTGCCATTTCAAAATAATATGTCAAAATCTAATTTGAAAAGTGTCTACAACTCTTATGGACATTCAAAGTAAATTATGACATATATTGACAAAAGGTAAAAAGAGTCCTATGACGTGATGTTAAATGAATTTGATAACTTCCCTGAAATCTGTTTTTCTAATCTATAAAACAAAGGCTTAAATTACTGTATTTTTCAACCCTGGCTGTACATTGGAATTACCTAGGGAGCTTTAAAAAAATACCCTTACCGGGGCTTCACCCAGATGTTCTGGGCTCCACCCAGATGTTCTGGTGTAATTAGTCTGCCTTCCAGGCAGAAGAAATAGCTTATAAAAGACCTTGAGCCTGAGAACATAGCTCAATGGGAGAGAAAGTAATTGCATATTATATTGGGTTCTAGAAAGCTGGTGGTGGAGGATGACAAAAGATAAGGGTAGAGACAATGTGGGTGGGAAAAGGAATGGATAGGGAAGGAGGAGATATCAAAGAATCTTGCAGGATTTTAAGAAGGAAGTAGCGCAAAGAGATTTCCATTTTAGATTGATCACTCTGGCTAGAGGGAGAATACAGGAGTCCTCCTTTATCTCTGGGAGGTAGTTCTAAGACCTTTAGTAGTTGCCTGAAATCTCAGATAGTACTGAACTCTATATATGCACGATATTTTTTCCTATAAGTATGTACCTATGATAAAATTTAATGTATAAACTAGGCACAGTAAGAGATATACAATGAAATAGATCAATTATAACAATATATTGTAATAAAAGTATGTGACTATAGTGTGTCTCTCTCCCTCTCTTTCCCTCTGCCTCTCTCTGTCCCTGTCTCTCTTTCGGAATATCTTATTGTCTGTAAAATTTTCCCACCAAGCTTGCTGGCAGGTAACTGAAACCTTGAAAATCACAACTGTATGTGAGGGCAGGGACTACTGCCATTGAAACTATGCAAGGTTGAAAAGGGAGAAGCTAATTAGGTGTCATTACAGTGGCACTGAGGATAATGATGAAAATAATTGAGGGTAAGACAAGCAGAGGGGATAGAAAAAGAAAGCCGTCTACTTATTAGTTGTACTAATAATCATGGATAACTTCCACAGCATCCTCAGTGACTCCAGGAAGATGAAGGCTCACTGTTAAAGCAGTGTGAGATTAATATATGAATAAAATGGGTTAGGCTTTGCACTTGGTTGTTGGACATAGAATAAGCTGGTTTGCAGGGCTCAGGGCTGCATCTTTTAGGGGTCTCTATGGAAAATGCTGGTGGGGTTAGAGTGAGTACAATGGCCTGGACTGGGAAAGGATTCATGTCAGGGTACAGCTGGGGTGAAACATGCCATCATGCTTTCTGACTCTACCTCTGAGAGTGACCAGAAGTCACCACTCTCAAGTCTTA